GTTTTCTCTGGAGATATAACCAACTTTCATTAGTATAAATTACTGTGCTTTCTACCCAGTTTGTTTATACCGACCACATCCAACAGAAAACACAAGAAAAGTCATCTGTTTTGCTTCTGCATGTCTGACTGCCCTGTCCCCATCTCCAAGCCTCATTCTGGACTCCAAAGGGAAACATAAGTATTGAAGTTCAGATCCAGACATTTGGCACATAACACATCATAGGCACTTCAGGCTTCTCTGGATCTTTAGGGAACAATTCTGTAAATGTTACCCAGCATTTTATTTTGGGAATCCCACAACAGAAGGCAATTTTATTTTAGGTGTACACTACACTCTGTAGCTGCTTTCCACGGTGGCTTCTCAGATCTTGGGCACAGCCTCTCCTCCTGTTTCACACACAACCAGCGAGGGTGAGTGGTGTCTTTGTCCAAACTGTTCTGTCAGGTTCAGTGTTTTATCCTGACACATTTCACCTGGGCAGAATGCATCTCTTTGCTTGGCTCCCTCACTGCTCCAAGCCACTTCACTCAGGTCACCAGGACTGTTAATAGGAGCTCACTACTGAGACATGGAACAGTGCAGCCGAGATTTGGGGCTCCCTCAGTGGTGATATGAGGAGCCTGCACAATTTAAGGAGCCTGCTGGAGGTTAGGCATGCTGCACAAGTGTATTTAACAGAAGTATCTCTGTTTTTCTCTTTTCTTAGAGACTGAACTAAAACTCCCAGGAAGCAGCACAAAGATGACAAATGAAAACTAAGCCAAAATATAATCACTCTAATTATAATGACTACTAAAAAGAGATGGTTGTCAAAAGAGAAGTTTCAGGAGCATTGAAGTTAACTGTCAAGATCCAACCCATCTGACTGAAAACTGGCAAGCAAGTCAGCTGAGAGAGCACTAGCATGTTATAAAACAGAAGGAAAGGAGCAGCTTGGAGGTTTGATAGTGGGGTTTTTGGTTGTTTGTGAGTTTGGGGGGTGCTTTTTGGTGTGCTACAAACTTACAATAGAAAACGGATGAAGTGAGAAGAAAACTCATTCACACCTGGATTATAAATTACTCTAATGCAGGATTAATTAGAAACAGAAATAGTGAATTAAGAAAACCTATGTAACTGAAATTTGGTAAAATCTTATTTTCTACCTTTAAGCAGAGTAGTTTTGTTAAAAGGTTTCTCAGACAACTTTTGAGGCCTTAAAAGCTGTGAATGAAGTAGGATCTTTGAATTCCCAGTGATTTTTCTTTGAGAATTTAAGTTCTGATGGTCCAGGTAACCAGTTTACCCCGGTCGCACAGCTGGTGCTTACTGGTGTATATATACATACATATATACACGTATACATATACATTTACATTTACATATATTCTTTTTAATATGTTAACTATGTTAACTGTCTATTTCATGGTACTAATTCAGCAGCTAAAACACTCAATTTAAAAGCAGGTAGAGCTATCAGTTAAAATGAAAGAAAAAATGGAAGAATAACAAGGAGAAAATCAGAAGATGATAGAACTGCTTTTACTTCTGGTTGCAGGCTGGAGCTCTGCGTGGACCCACTCTCAGGAGGTTGTAGTAGGTAATGCTGACATCTGTGGGTGAGATGGAGAACTGAGCTTATGACACAAGCTGTTAATACTGTCCTAACTAGAGCTTCGAAAGGCAAGTCACTCAGTGTGTGATCCAGATTTAATCTGCTGCCACGTACATGCAAAGGGCTACAGAAGGAAGCTGAGGGAAGAAGAAAAGAATTGGGGCAATTTTCTCACCACTTAGTTATGGTAGGAGAGCCAGGGGAATTTCCCATGTGTCTTCTCTTTTTCCTATCCCAGCCCAACACCTTAGGCTGCTGTAGCCATTCTGACAAATGCTGCCCGAGTACTTCCCTGTGTGTCTGGGAAAGAGGACACGCGTGGCTCTGTGCCACTGGCAGAAGCACCCCGGGCATGCCAGAAAGTTTTCCATTTTGCCAATGAGTACAAAGCCCTACTGTGAGTGCCTTCTTGGCTACCCAAGACTGCATTTCTAATGCAATGTTCAGGCAGGAGACCTAAACCATAGTGAAATGCAAACGTAACTGTAAAAGTGTGGCTCTCCTCTTAAACAATGAGCACTCATTGAGGTGTTTGGGGATTGGGGGCGAAGCACTTATAAAGCCCAAAAAGAAAATCAGTTTCTCTTAAGTGCAGATCTTGTATCTGAGTCAGTTATATTGCAACCTCATGACTGTGGGTAACACTTCTGTGCTCGATTTCTGAATGTGTCAATGAATTCCTCTTTGAGGAATCCCCCAGTCCTGGGGATGCAGCTCCTGGAGGTGCACCATGGAACTCATGGACAGGTTTGCAGTAAACTGATGCCCTCTGCTGGGTATGAGGGACTTGAAACGTAAATTCCCTATTTCAGAGCAAGAAAATGGCCCAAAACCCCTTCAAAGAGTGAACTGGACAGTTTAATGGCAAGGGTTCACACCTTCTTACAATATTTTTTAATACAAGTTGGAGGACAGCTGATGATTTGCAATCTAATTGCAGTGCATGAATAACAGTAGTTCTGTTCATGGCTTCCACATTGGTGAATATTAGATGCAACTTGTAACTAATGATCTTTGAATATATTAATTTCAATAAACTGTTCCTCTCCTACCAGTTGTATTTAAAAGAATGCATAATTTGAAGCTGGAGAGAAGTGTCTGAAGGGGCCTTTAAAGAAAGTTGCATTAGTGTGGCATTGACTGGTTAGAAACCAGTATAAATATGAACAAAGCTTTCAGAATGTTTGCTGAAGAGTTATTGGGAAAAAAGACCCGGATCATGAGGGACAAGTTACTGTTTGTCAGTACATTGTATGTTCCACTGAGAGATCAGTTGAAAAATGCTGAAGCTGCATTCATAAAGACACAAATACGACAAAAGTAAAGTAATTCTAATTTTAGGGGAAAACAAAACTGGAAATCGTGTTTGTGTTTTGTCATGAGACTGAGACTCTAAGGCCTTGATGCTGGCTGCAGCTCCCTGTAGCTGTTTCTGTCACACATCAAATGACAGATGTACACTTCACCTCTCTGGAGCTGTGTCACGATGGGATCTCAGTGAAAGCATTTGTGGTCTGTTGGTCCATTCTGGCTAATTTGAGTAATGCCTATGAGAAAAAGCTAAAAGGAACATTAAAACACATCTAAAATAAATTTGTCACCTTAACTGTTTTCTTCTTTTCCTTTAGAAGCTTTAATTCTGACTTCTGGATTTACAAAATAACAATTTTTGTGTAGGTTTGTCCTCTCCCAGCACTTTCTGATGTCTTGAATGGTAAGAGATTCAAAAGTTAGAAGTGTCCTATCTTAGTTACTGAAGTAATAAATTTAACTGATTTTAAAAGTCCCAAATTCATGCTGTGTCTACGGATAAGGTTATAACATAACAAGGAAAAATGTCTTTTTGTAGCATAATGCCAAAAAAGTTAATGTAAACCTTCTCTGAGTTAATTACCTGACTGCATTATACTGTTATTTGAGTATTTAACACAAATAATCCCAAGGGATATTAATTGGTTTTAAACTTTCAGCTTCACAAAGGGGCACATCCTATTCTCTGGTCTGACCACAGGGTTGTGTGGCAATTCTCACAGGTCAACAGAAGAACCCTCCCTGACTTTTGAAGAGGTTCAATTTGACCATGTTCTAAACTTGAAGTTTGCTCTGTGTGAAAAAGTAGTGTTTAGTGTTAAGTCTTGGTTTCTTACAAGACCACAATTCTGGAGCTTCTGTTCAATAAACTCCAACTGATTCATGGAATACACATTCTTCATAAACCAGTCTTTTATTGTCATTGATTTTTGTCACTTGAATATGCAAACTTTGCCAAGGCATAAATTTTTGCAATTAATACCAAAAGAATAGTCACTGCATGCAGAGCTTAAAGTGCTAATGGATTTTGGATTTTATGGAAAGTAGTTTTTTCCTTTGGCCCTACTAAAGTAATGTCCTGTTTAACTGGCTTAGTTGTGAGCACTTCTGGCAGGTGGGGAAGTACATGTGCTGCTGGGAGTCACCTGCACTCACTTCAGTTGATGACAAAAGAGCTTGTGTGGTGTCTATAAAAACAACAAAAAGCGAAATTCATGATGTAAGCAGTTTCAATCTAGCAAGATGGTTAAGTTTGACTTGTAACAATGTCTTTTAAGAGGAAAATGGATGTGGAGCACGTGGAACTGTATTAAAAACATGCTACTGAATTTAGTAATACACTGCAGCCTAGGCATGTTAAGGAAATGCAGCTAAATGGAAATGTCCTAAATATGTTAGGACATGTGAACAGCCAACACCAAAATGTCATTTTTTTACCAGAAAAATAACCTAAACCCTGTGTCCTTAGGGACAGTACCCACTTGATGCACACTTTTAGTCAAACAGCAGTCCTGGGCATTCTGGTAGGAAACAACTGTTTTATTTGGGAAAGTAATCACCTGATAGTGCATCTGAATGTACTAACTTTGCACAGACTTAATGGAGATGGAGAAATACAGTTCTAATAATGAGATGCTCTAGGCAACTTAAGTTTCTGGTAATTACTGAATCCAAAATCTGGCTGTGGACCTGAAGAGGTTACACTCATCATACACATGGAAGCCTGTTAAGTTTATTAACAGCTGGTACTGCCAACTCTGGTCTAATTAAAAAAAATAATAAACACACATAAGTGACACAGCTCAAGAAGCTTTTCCCCTCTCACTCTCCTGGAAGTTACCTGTTTATATTTCCATCTAATTCAAAAGATTGCTTAAGATATGAAACAGTGAGAGACATCCACTACAACAACTGCCAATGCTCTGACAAATAAAAAAAAGCATCTGATTATTTTTTAACAGATTTAATAAAACTCAATGCTTATATTCCAGTAGAACCAGCAGATGTCAGCATAACTCAAAGCATAACTTTGGATTTTGGCAATGCAACATTCATGACACTTAACCAGAACAGAAAAAAATCTGCTGAGCACATAGCAAGATCATACAATTTCATTGAGTAAGTCTTCAAGAAGTTAACAGTACTATTAAAAAAATGCAACCCAACAAGCATGTAGATCTTCCAAGTCATCAAATAATTGGAAATTTATACAAAATACAACAAAAATGCGAAGAAAAATAATGTTACTAAGACTTCATTAATAAAAATATTTTCAATAAGTCTTGTTAGAGTGTGAAAGTTTAATATTATGATGACAGATAACGTATCACCCAAAGATACTTTCCATTCATCTGGGTTTTTTTGATAACAGTCTAGATAACCTTGGTTTGGAAACACTCAAGTTCATTTCAGCTGCATATAAACCTTTAAAACCAGTAAAGAGAACAAAACAGGGAGAAGGCTATTGAAAAACTGGCTCAGTCCAATTACAGACTGATAACAGAGCAAAATTATTTTAATTTTGTACAACAGAAACCAACAAAGTAATCACAATTACTTGTGAAATTAGCCCTGACAGGTTAATTTCAGTATTTTAATATTAATTAATATTAAATTAATTCGTTTGAATTAATATGAATTAATATTCTTATGAATTCATAAGGACAACTTGATCTCAAATCCCAGTAACTGGGATGAGATCTGAACACCTAAATGCTTTTGATAGCTTTATAAGTGAACAGGATTGGATTTATCAGATGTAGCTTCAATACCCTGTAGAAGATATAATATTCACTATTAATACTAGAAAGACAGCTTTATTAATACTACATATAAATTCAATTAGAACTTTCATGGCATTTCACATAGAACAGATTAAAACCTATGGGATCCTGAATTTGAGAAGGAGAAATGAGAGATACATGGAGATGGTACATTCTACAAAACAATATAAGAAAGAACAGTGACTCAGGATAGTTCACATTAGAATTTAGCACCCTGTGCTTGAATACAGTTGCTCAGTGAGATCTTACCTACATGACTAAGAAGCCCTAGTACAAGGCAGACTCAAGTGTGAAAAACCAGCAATGTGGTTTTGTCCCTAATAACACTGAAAACCATTGTGAAAGTGAGCACATTCATCACGTGGATCGTAGCAAATTCCAACAGCTTCCATTAAATTACCAAATGCTGAACGTGCTGTGTGTAGTCCAAGCACGGACCACAGAGTCAGGATGAAACAATGCACACCCACACTACCCAACGTGCTTGTTTCTGATGATCTCTCCTCCCTCTATCTCGATCTGCTCGTAGAGCCACTTGCGGTCGCAGCGACATTCCGTGCCGCACTTGTTGGAGCCGCACTTGGGGCAGGCGTAGAAGCAGCCCAGGCAATCTTCGTCCAGGCAGTCACACAGGTCCATCCCGCTCAACAGCAGCAGGCCCTGGCTGTCGTACACTTTACTCTTGGCTGGTATCACCTGCCTGCACAATGAACAACAACACGTGTTTGCCATGTTAAAACCCGCTTATTCTTTTGATGCTAAGCTGCTCAATTTGTGGAGGGAAGTTTGCTTTCTTCAGGTGTTCACTCTGTCACTGTTCATTTCAAAGATATACATACCTGACTGTATCTGATAACGTTTTTCAGTCCTAATTGTACCTCCACTGTGCCCAGACTAAGCAGAAGAAACAGAGGGAAGGATGTGCAACTGGTGAGCAGCACATTTCGTGTCTGTTTCTGTCTGGTATAGTTACATTTGGGTGGAGAGCAGGGGCAATGCATTAATGTGATATTTCTTGCATATTTTGCTAAATAGAAAATGTCTCTTTATTTTTTTTTTTTAATCAGTCACATTAGAAGGTTGTAACTCGTTATCCAGTATTATACAATATGGATAGTAACTTTGTAATTCAAAAGGAAGGTAAGGTCCTAACTTGCACACTTTTGTTTACCAAATGTAACTGCTGAGTTTACAGAACGATGCTAATCAATATTTTAAGTGTAGCCTACTTCATCTTGCTATATTCAAATTTATCTTATCAGAATTTCAGTTTATGCATGTATTAATAACGACATCTATGGTCTGGTAGTATTGTGCCTCACAAACACCATTTTGTGTCTGCCTGAAATATGAACTGTAAGCTAATACTTTATCTTCTCTTTCATTTATCTCAGGAATGAGTGATCTTCAACATCCCTAAAACCAAGAACTCAATCCATACACGCACAAACATCCACATAAATAATGTTACAGGCTGACCATCAAGCCTATTTTATTTTCAAATGAAAGTTAATGTAAATACAACTAACAAATTACCTGTCTGAATTAAACATTGATATTTTTGTTTGCAGCCTTCTTTTTTCCCTTTTACTGGTCTCTGGAGTGAATTCAGTCTGTCGTCCTGGGTTAGCAAACTGGAGTGACTTTAAAGCCTTAGCTGTACGCCCCTGAAGAGAAAGAAAATGTCAATTATAACTACAAATCTAAATTCCTAGGAAAATATCCAGCCAAGGATATTGTAACAACCTAAATGAATTCTTGACCTATGAGTCTATGATTTCCCAGTAGAAACAACTTAAGTCTTAAAATTTTTATGCTGGAGAACTATACCTGTCTCTGACCCCAGCAACACAAGCTTTGTATTAGCAGTTTTAATCAATGCTTTCAAATCATCCTCCTGTCAGCCTCCTAACGATACTGACATGTAATTGAAAAATACAGCTGGGGAACAGCTCCTAGAATGCAACTCCTCTTTGCTCAGGGTTCATACAGACAAACTCTTGCTGTTTTGGTTGCCCACACCACAGATTCCCTGTGCACAACCTGAACAATGCATCCAGCAAGGCACCAGGCACATTCTGAGCTCAGCACCTGGAGAACTCTCCTCCCACACCCGGGCATCACTGCCCCTGACCAAATGCCATGGCCTTCACAGCCCAGACACCACAACACAAGTACACTTAATTCACCTCAGTGCAGGTTCATTTCGTAATGAACTGCAGAAGGAAACACCTTTTTTTTCCTTTTTGTTTTTAACTGAAGAGACATCTTTAGGAGCAACTTTTGCAGTGTTCAGTTTCAAGCACAGGAGTTTGTTGTTTAAAATACCAGCACCAGTCTGGTATTTACATGAATTTATGAGTCAGTCGCCCTAACAGGCACAATTTTTTCAAAACTTAAGACGCCATATTATTTAACTAGAGAAGATTTTTAAGGTTCTCCAAAATGAAGGTTTAAGTACAGTAAACTCCTGCACATCTAAAAGACTACATCCTTTCTTATTTCTGTGAGAGAAAAGTTTATATAGTAATTTCTTTATGTAGTAGTTATATGAACTCTTAACAGCTTGCAGAGTACAGAGGGGATGGGAAAACTGATCCATATACATACATCTGGATCAAGTTTTCTTCTTTGTCGCTCCTCAGGCTCCACATCCACACTTCCATTTATTATCTGCATACATTTGGGACAAAGCTTCCAACCAGGAACAAACTGTCTTCCAAACTTGGCACTTAGAAAAGCTGCATCATCTAAGTCAATTGCTCGCAAGTTTTTCTTTGATAGTTTTCTGTGTATGTTAAAGGGATCACAACAGGATTTTTGTAAGTCTTCAAATCTTTCAATGTAAATTTTTGCATGGTGGAAGCAGATTGTGTTGTTCTCTGACAGTGTTATTCCAGTCCTAAGCTGAAGCAGCAGGAGGTCAGATGAAGAAATATCTTGTTTATTCTTGAAGCCAGTGTGACGGGTGTAATAGGTCTTATGGCATTCGCTGGTAGCTTGAAGCTGAACTCCAACTGAACAAGGATCCATTTTACTGTATCAGAACAACTTATTTCATTTATTTTGCCTAAAATGAATTCTTTGAAGCCTTTAGGATTTTCTGTGAAGATCACTCTAGAGAAAGCATTAAAATCAATCAGATTCACAGTGCAAACTTTTATCCATAAGCCTGACATACTGGATTTAAGTAATTTAAAAAACATGTAAAGAAATTACAGTCTTCTAGTTCAGATAAAACTAAAAAGATACTGATTTTATTCTAGAATTAAACCATGCATCTTCTATTCCTTTCAGAAGCTTTATAACTTTTTTTTCTAAAGTATCTATTCAAAATGTTTAGAAGCATTTCTTTCTCAAAAGCAATCTGAGAGCAAAGTACAATGTGGATGAGTTGTTCACACAGCAGCCTGCTCTGGTCATTGGTTTTCCTGGGGACTCCCTCTCTTGGGACAATCCCTGCTAGTCAAGACCCGAATGCCCACAGAAGGAGACTGCTGATGGATAAACAATTCACTTATCCTGTGTCCAAGGAGTTTCTAAGGGAGGAAAAAAGCTGCAGAAGGTAGGCTGCACAGGCTGGCTGAGCAATTCCCATCCAGCAGCACTTTCCTGTATGTTTTTCCCATGTGCATCAAGTGCAGGTCAACACCCGGGATGAACGTGAGCCTTTCCCAGAGCCAGTCTGGGCTAGGCACGAAGATTGGCAGTTCCAGAAGTGTGCAGTTTTGGGGCCATGTGGCCTTTGTGTGCAGCCTTCTGTTGGGCAGTTATTATATAGTTATACACTAATACCAAATAAAATTACCAAATGCCAAGTGAGCCACTGCACCCTGGCCATAACAGACCAGAGCCTGAGCCCATCTTGCACTAAAAAACCACATAAAAACCAAACTTCTACCAAAAGAAAGGAATCACTTGTTCTCAAATCCTCCAAGAATCCTAATTACAATGAGTGTAGCTTAATTGGGATGTTTATGTTCACCTACACCCTATTCTGCAAAGACAAAACCCCAAAAAATGGAAAAGCAGTGTACTGGTTGTGTCTGGGACAGAGTTAAATTCTTCACAGTAGCTGGAGTGGGGCTGTGTTTTGGATTTTTGACCAAAACAGTGTTGATAACATGCTGATGTTTTGGCAGGGCTTACACAGCATCACAGCCTTTTCTGCCCCTCACCCTGCCAGAGAAGGGCAGGGGGTACACAAGAAGCTGGGAAGGATTGGAGCCAGGCCAGCTGACCCCAAGGGAGCCAAAGGATATTCCAGAGCATATGGCCTCGTGCTCAGCACTAAAGTGGAGGCTGGTGGGGAAGGCTTGCTGAGCAATTGTTTTCACTTCCACTGCTTCTTTTTTTCTTGGTTTTACTTTCTGCTCTCTTTGATTGTTGTTGTTTTTTTTTTTTTTAATTTTCCTTACAATATTTTTTAAAACATCTTTTCATTATTAAGCTGTTTTTATCTCAACCCCCAACTTTCTCACCTTTATCCTTCTGGTCCTCCCCCAGTGAGGGGGGTGAGTGAATGGCTATGTGGTGCTTAGTTGCCAGCTGGGGTGAAACCACAACACACATTTATTTGTTCTAAACACTGAGCATGGTAACATGGCCTTTTAATCAATAAAAGTATCTAAAGTTGTCCAGTGCTAAAGAGTCTGGGATTCTACTTTCTGTAAAATAAAATCAAATGGCATCATGTACAACCTAATGACATGAAAAAAAATGTGTAAGTTTAGCCAATACATAAAAATATAAACACAGCAGAGCAAGAGCTTAAAAGAGGATAGTAAACCAATAGGATTTTTAGAATTAATCTGAAAACCCACTGGTTGGAGCATTTTTGCAGCAGAAATACTCTTGACTGCAATACTTAGTTTTTCTGAAGCAGATGTTTATATCAGCTTATATGAAGCTATTACACATTTCTACACATTAAACTGTATGCACAGTAATTGAAAGATCTTGCATAGGACGTGATATTTTACTAGTGATTTAACTGATGCAAATATTAATCATCTGAGAGGTTCTACATGGGCCAGTAAACTTATCTGAAAATGCAATTTTATATGTGATTTGAGACACAATTGATTATAACTGAATGGCCATTTTTAAACAAGTTTTCTCAGCCTATTGTTAGGAATGCTGCAACTTTCACATTTAGATTAAAGTAAGAAAAATAGAGGCACAAAATATCCTGAATGTAGAGGCACTACATAAAATGCTTCAAATCTCAGTTTGCAGAAAAGAATGCATGTGTTTCATTCTGAAAACAATGCAACCTCGGTTCTGTTTTTTTCAAGTGATGTGAAAATACAAAGACTTGAGTATTCTAATACTTAACACTGATTTCTCAGGTCAAAACCTAAATCCTGTATTTTTAGGGCTAGACCTAGTGTACTCCTAAGTTGCTCGGTCATCTGACCTCTTCTTCACTCAAATTTCTGTAGGCTGAGTTAACTCCTGAAGTTTTGAACATTTAAGATCTGCACTGAATAATACACACAAAAAAGGCAGACGTCAATGAAATTTTAAAAATTCTTATCTTCCGTGGCTGCTGAGCACCGACTGTGGGAACTTTCACTACACAGAAGTTCCAGTGCCTTTGCCTATTTATGCACTTCTACTGCAACACTGACTTTGAATGAATTTTTAATCTTTTTCCAAAAGACCACCTATCAGACTTCACCATCCTAGTGAACCAGCTCCAATTATAAATAATCCTTTTTTATTAGCTGCACAAAGTTTGTGTTTCAAGCCAAGGTAACTGTTAATGATCAAAGTTCACTGTAGCCGAGTTAGCATTTTAACAGCAGTTTAGGTAATACCAAATAACTTTACTCGAAGTCTGCTTCAAGTGCTCACGAGCATTTTGATTCCTGCTGTGGAAAGTGGGCTTTGTATGTGTGGCTGAAACACCTGGTCAATATATAAGTGATGGTCTGAATTTTCAAAATTTATACATGGATTATAAGTCAGGACTCTAGGAACATGTTCTTATTGAGAAACTCAATCTGTCTTCTAAAGAAAAAACAAGCCAACCAGAAAATTATTACAATGCTATCCCTGTGAGGTGTCTGTTTTGACCGCTGACTATGCTGTGTGATATTCCCTATATTGAACTGCAGAAGAGCACAGGGGTCTGTCACCTCGATTTGTTCAAATGACAGTACTGCTGACGGAACGTAGGGATCTCATCCACAGGAATCTTTGGTGGAAGCTTCAGCGCGTTTTTTCTCTTCCCTTGGGAGAAGCACACGGCTGCTTTTCCTGTGAACTCTTCCCTGGCGGAAAGAGGAAAGCGCTTGAAAGCCCAAACCCCATGGTTTGTACCTTGTGCAATGATTAGCCAGCGCTCACAGTACCAAACGCCACAGCCCGGAAAAAAGGCTCCATGAGGGGCAGCACAGCGGAGCCCAGAGCGGAGCACTGGCAAGGAAGAACCTGTCCCACACGGGCAGCGCTGGCCTAAAACTGTCCCGGGGAAAGAAAGGCCCGGCCCTTCCACTGCCGGACGCGCTCCCCGGTACCTCCCCGCGGGCTGTGTCCCTCCGTGCCGGTACCTCTCCGCGGTGTCTGTCTGTCCCTCCGTGCGGGCCGTGTCCCGCCGTGCCGGTGCCGGTGCCAGTCCCGGTCCGGGCGCGTGGGCCCGTCCCCGGCCCCTCACCACAGAGCCTGGGGGAGCGGGGCGGCACTTCCGGCCGGCGGGCTGCGACAGCGACACCTGCCGGCGGGGAGGGGGCAGCCCCGGGCAGCGGGGCCCGGCGCTTCCCGGCGCTTCCCGGCGCTTCCCGGCGCTTCCCGGTGTTTCCCGGTGTTTCCCGGTGTTTCCCGGCGCTTCCCGGTATGGGCGGCGAAGCCGGGGCCGGCGCTGAGCGCTGAGCGAACGCCCCCGGCGGCGGCCGGTGAGCGGAAGGTCGCGGCCCACCGCAGGCTCCGCCGGGCTGGAGTGCGGCTGAGGGAG